AGGGAACTCAAGTAAGCCTCACCTTTACAGTTCCCCCCCGTCAACAGACCTATCCCTATATTTCAGGCCCACCCCAATGCTTCAGGTGTTAATCCACCCCTCACGTCTATGCCAGCCCACCTTTCTGTATCCCCCATGCTGTAACTGTAATATTCTCATTAACAACCCACAGCATGAGTGCTAATACAGTTTTAAGGGGCCAACAATTTTCATACTCCAGAGAGTACTGTTTTTGTTTGTTTGTTGTTTAACGCCACACTCAGCAATATTCCAGCTATATGACGGCGGTCCGTAAATAATCATATCTGGATCAGATAATCCAGTGATAGACATCATGAGCATCAATCCACACAATTGGGATACAATGATATGCATCAACTAAGGCAGCGAGTCTGACCAACCTATCCCGTTAGTCGCCTTTTACGAAAAGCATAGTCGCATCTTACATTTACCATAAATTCAATCTTGAGGCAAATACATGTACTTGATTTTTTTGATTTTTTGTCATTTATCATGACTAAGACATCTTTATTTATATCATTTCTCCTGTTTTCATATAGAAAAGGTGTATCGGTATATAATCTACATGGTGGTGAGTATTCACATGTTTTATATTATTTTTTAAAATGTGGACTCAATTAACTTCAGGGCTTACAGCTACTGTACATACAGAAGACTCTCAACTTCAAGACTAGTTTATTAAAGGAGACCCCCGCCTCAAAGGCCCCCAACCCCCTTCTGACATCGGATTCAGGGGTCTGTTAAGAGGGTATTCAGTACTCAGCAATGTGGTACGCGGCACGCATATATAATCTTATTTGGTATGCAGATTCAACATTCATAAAAAAAGTCATGGTGTTCACAATAGTATTCTTCATATATTTACTTTTTTCAATATTTTTTAATTAATTTTACTTGAAATCGCACATTTTTCTCAATGCTTTTTAGATTTCTGTAGTAGTATACTAGTTTCAGTGATGAGCAAATGAATGAAAAATCAGATGGTATTCGGACTTCAGGAAGGAGGGGTTTGGGACCCTTAAAAAATGTAGGGAAGTTCATACTTCATGTTTTGTGATTAAAATAAGAGAGCCCTTTCCTGCAGAATCAGACAAGGGTTTCAAGTACACAAGGCCATGAACTGAATATGTGAGTTTATGTACACCAAAATTGTGCCAAATATATAACCTTAGCATGTAATATGATCAATGTCCTTTGTAATTGTTGTACGAGGGGAGTCAGTCATGGATTATATGTAACAATGAATGCAAATCTTATTTTTGTAACCAAGTTCGTTTAGTTTGTGTTGATCTCTACCACAGACAGATGCCTAAATATGCAAGAAACACAAAACGGCATGTTCAGTCGGTTTCCTGTTCCTTCCTCGCTGTAATCGCTTACTTCAAACTTCCTCTTTGCTATATCTGCCTTTTCGCTTGGGACATTTCAGGAAATGACACTTTTGTTTGATGAACTAGTATACACAATACCAAATTTTGCGTCTTCAATATGCCGAAAATAACGGAAAATAATTTCATTGTCATGCAGAGCAATGCACTGTAAACAAAATAAAATGGTGGATGTCTCTCCAGGATGGTGTCACAACTACAGCTTGGCCTCAAGCTGGGATTTCAATATGTATCCGCTCTAGTTGTGGAATCAGGGCAGTTGTTTGTTGCTTTTTAGATAATTATGAAATCACATGATACTCCTGTGTTTAATCAACGCCAGATCAGGTCAATGTTCAATGTCTGTGGATCAGTCAAAATCGGCTTAAGGAAGAAAGAGAGTAAGGTTTTAGGTAGGTATGACAAAGACATATATGAAAAATGCAGTGATTTTGTTGATTACGGTTTTAATCCTATTATTCAATTAAATATACTATTACCATGACTACATGTCCCATAATGCTATGATATTTCAACATACCACAGACATGTTGTCCATGTACTTACTAGTGTGCAAAAGATGTATTACCGGTACATGTTATTCCACATGCTACATACAGTATTCCCTAACTGCTATGCCCTACAATATAGCGCTAACTTGGTTATAGCATGCAGTAACACATGGCTCCCAAAATTTACTGACATTTTTAATAAACTCAAGTTTTACACCTTCAAAATGTTTTTTTCCCATCACCAAAAACTTTATCACCTGTACTTGCTGCATGTACAATTTCATAATGATACATGCAGAAATAACTGAATTTATGTACAAAATTACATTTTCAATATGGCTGCTGGAAATTTGTGAATTAAGCAGACGTTACTGATAACAGTATACATGTACCATCCAGAATAATAGGGTTTCACTGAACTCCAGTTAAACCTGAAGTGTATTGAATCAGTTATTCAACTACAAAATCAAACATCAGTGTTGATGTATTTTTAGGGTTATTTGTTATTTTCCATGGAGTCATTTACAGTCTGTTGTTGAATCAGCTATTCATTACAAAATATCATTTAAGCCAATATTGTACTCAACACACATTACAAAATAACATTTGAACTTATCTTGTACTCAACAGACATTCAAATCCTATCTACAATTAGTACAACATTTTGATCCCATTACACCAACCAGTCCTTTGTCATCATTTCCAGTAGATTTTAGCAGGAATTTACCTACGATTTTAAGCCAGGTGCCCGTGGCAGGCAAACTGGGGGATAAAATCATTATTTTGTTCCTAATTTAGATTTGTTAAAAGTTATTATTTTCCTAAACTTTGAGTTATTTTAGCATTGCAAAAATAAAGCTCTAAAGCCTCTTCCTCTTTACCATGTGTATTGTCCAGTTATCAGTGACATAGAGTTACCTCTATCACTTACCTCTACAAAGCCATAATTAGTCATAACTTTAACATGAATTGGGATATTTTTAATTACAACTTGGGAATTTTTACAGACATCTGCTCCAGAAACCAGAAATTTGCCTCTGATCAGGTCTATATAAACCCCTGTTTTAGTGTTGGTGTACTGTGGCTCAAACTGAGTTGACTAGACAAATAGACATTATACTGTGGCATCAGTCCAGTGTCTGAAGTGACTGACTGAGTCAATGCTCTAATTACAGTCTGGAGATACTATACATCAACTCTTCAGCTTCATTATATGGTGTTTTGTTTTTTCAAATCAATCAAATTATCTGTGCATGTATATTGCCCCACTGTTATACCATAAGGAAACAATGTTGATAATTGTATAGGGAATTATGACAACATGCAACAAATTATCAGCATGTGACCTATTTTAACATCCATAAGCAGTCACTAATTGTTGGTATACTTGAACACATGTCTGTCCTAAGGTAAACACTGAAATTGGGGAATATTGACAAACTGTCTCAAGAGCTCCCTGAAATTTTCCGGCCTCTACAGTCAAAGTCCAAAGTTTAGCAAGCTGTTAGGTCTGTGGTGAAAATCACACCAAGATTTCAGAAGGAAGTGATGGGGTCCAAATTATGAAGGAAAAATTTACAGCTATATATGTTATTTTCATAGGAATGGTTCTGTTACAAGAACAAATGTCTCGTTTGGTAAAGAAATCTAAGTATAAGAATGTTTTAACTCATTTTCTCTAAAATTGACAACTTTAAGAACTCATCCGTCTCCTACAGGTGATTATTATCTGGCTAGAGGTGTAACGATATGATGGGGTCGCTATACGATACATATCCTGATACCATGGGTGCGATACGATTCAGTAATACAGTAATTTTATTTCATAAGTTGATATTCTTTATGTTTACAACCCTGAATCATTTGTTTTTTAATTTCAAAGATCGAAGGTAGGATATTACGCCGCAGAATGTTCTTTATAGCCAACCAGGAAATACTACAGAATATGCATAAGCTAGTTGTTGAACAGTTTCTGTTATCATTCATGTGTTTTTAACTTTTTACACCAATATAACTTGTAATGTATCATATGTATAGCGATACATGGGTTGTAAATAGATGTATAGTATCGTGGGCATCATATTACAACATTACAGTGATAAATGTGCAACTGCTTTATTTGGATTAAATTGTAAAAGTAGATGATAATCTTTCCTTTCATTGCCTTATCCAATATCAGATGATAGATATTGGTAATATAATTGTGTTGCCAGGGAACACATAAAAGGCATTTTCTCCAAAGTTATACAATATGTCACAAACAATGTACATCAATATTGTTCAATCAGTAGCTAATGCATGTATTCTACTTCTATAGACTCAAGGGTTTTGTTGCAACTTGTATGCAACCTACTTGTGATGGAAAGAATGTGTGTTCACTGAACAATCTACAGCCTTCCGGGCTGCCCTATACTACATGTGCCAGACAGAATAACCGTGTCAACAGCTTGACAATTTGTCATTTTGTGGTGTATGCATTGTATGGATGGGAACATTAGTTTACGTGAGATCCTGGTTGCATGTTTCCCTGAAACCTGTGCACACTATCTCTTCACTTGTCACGAACTCCCACATCTGCTTCATAAATACTAACAAATTGCATGGACCACTGACTTATTGGCAAGGATATACTTACGTCCACAAACAAGTTTTACAGAGCTAATGTGAACAACCACAACTGACGAAATTGGAGTAACACGATTCAATCTACCTTCGCCAAATTAAACCATTTATCGATCTGAGGAATTTGACAGATTCCTCGGGAGCCCGATTTCTCGTGACCCGACGATGTTTACTAGTTTATGCTGAGGGTCAGATCACAAGTCCCGACAATAAGCGTAACAACACATATTTAACGCATAATCTATCAAAAGCATGGTAATAAACCCCGTGAATAAATTAGCACATGTACACATTTTGTTCTTGTAGCCGATTCAACCAGAAGTAGCAATAAAAACAACGATAACACAAGCGCATGATAAGGACGGCACGCCGCCTCCATACTGACAGCCGTCACAACAAACCGGATTACGATCCTGTGATAAACATATCATCGCCCATACAAGGGATGATAGGTACTTGTCTGATGTCAAACACTCACCGTTGCAGAGCGAATTTCTCCGTGATCTAGAACAATATGATGACTCTCCCACCGCCGCAGATATTTAGAGTTCATGATTTTGCTTACAATCGTCCGTGTGTGATTCAGACGACACACTTGGATGTCGCCCTCGGAGACCAGTTTGTATTTGGGTCCCTGGGGTAGGGATTTGATTGACACAGGGGACGAGCTCGCAGAGCTCGAATGTTGAGGGGTGCTGGGAGCTGACGGAGGGTCAGTTGAGGTAACTTCAACGCAGGCATCTGCCAACGTCGCCATTTTGTAGAGCTTTGCTTGCAGCTCGCACGAGCCGAAGCTCGTTAAGGCTGATCCGTAGCAGACGACAGAGTAAATATCCCCGTAATATCGCACACACCGATATGATTATTCCCTGGACATGGTTACTCCCCTCGGGTACACCACCGACACATCAGGACGAATTATAATTTTGTAGTTTAATTCGCCTGGCGCGTATGCAGAGAAGTGGTAAACACGATGTTACAGTGGTTTTGCTGGGTCCTTTTCACATAGATCACGGTACGAGACTAGACCGTTGTTCCTCGAAAACGGATCCAATAATTGTGTCACTTAATATATCCCGGTAGTCCATTTCAGCACAATAACCTAAAAAAATGAAGGCCACGCGTTGTGAGTGTCGAATAACTCTGTCAGTCCCCTGTTCTGTGTGTGGAGTAAAAAGGGTCGTGACTAATACAAGAACGTAATCGGGTTTTCATTGAAAATGGCAGCGAGCGGTCACGTGACATATGACGTTTCTCCGCTGGCATATCTGCGCGATTTTAGGTTGTAGGTAGCCTACGTCACTACACGTATATACAAACTTAACGCAGCGAGCCCGCGATACAGATTAATTTTGAAAAAAATATAAGAAAAATGCTTTTGAAATATCCATCAGCATTCCACACACTGTGAAGACTTCAAGTTAGGGCGTGAGTCATTGATCAATACACGATCAGCAGCGATGATGAAAAAGGAGTGAAAACGTTACATGCACACACATCAGAGTTTGCTAAATGAAAACGTGGTGTTTTATGGGGCAGTGGAAGAATCATTCTCGTCTTTAAAGCACAGATCTGTCAGGGTTGTGAAAGCACCTTGGACAACGAGTCTCACATACTTTATGTTAGAATCACCTGTCGTCGGCTGTGGGTGTTTCAGTAATTCAAATTTAATCCATTCATTTTCTTGTTCATTTGACATTAGCTTGCCTTTAAAACGAATTAAATCCCCATTTCCCGTTCAGAATCATCCAGTCAAATATTTTATAATCCACTTACGGATTGCGGACCAACTTCAGCAACTTTGGGATTATTAAAGGGAGGCTATCACTTGTCAGGCGTGAATTCCATGCATGTTTTGATTTTGAGTACTGTATTTTAGAGTGCTTAAGAACCAAAGTATTCGATAACATTCGGGGAATGTATTGACTGATCACGTCGTGTGACATCGTCCCAAGACCTGTTTGGGAAAATATATTAGAAACCGGAAGAAAACTGTGAAATGACGACAACTACCATTAGACAAGGAAATGGAACCTAATCACTCAGACGCTATGGTATACGGACACCAGAATGAAAGTGATCGACAAAACATAGTTCTCCCTTTCATCGCTAGGTGTTACTTTCAGCTGAATCTTCACAATTATTTGTGGTGATAACATCAAAATCCTATCTCATCAAGTCCAGGAGCCGTCAAAAACAATCCCGTTTACAGATGTTGCCGCACGCCAAACACGAAGATCTCATTCGATAAATGAAATGTAATGAGTTGTTTCACGGCGATGTTCTGTTACAGTGTATTTTCGAAACTACGGATTTGACACGATTTCCAACATAACACTGTTTGCAGCATACAATATTTATACAGACCATTAGCATTACTTGAAATGTGTTGTGAAATGAGGTCTAACCTCCCGTCCAAGATTATTGCAGTAATATAGCGGCGTGTATGTGTATTCATCACCAAATTCTGGTAGATTTAAACCTAATGTTTAACAACCACCGTCATTTACTTATTTATTTTTAATGATTGCTTTCAAAGGTTGATCTTGTCCATGCAGTATTTTAATACGGTAAGATTGTGTTTGTTTGTTTGGTTGGTTGGTTGGTTGTTTAACGCCGCACTCAGCAATAATATTCCAGCTATATGACGGCGGTCTGTAAATAATCGAGTCTGGACCAGACAATCCAGAGATTGATATCATGAGCATCGATCCACGCAATTGGGATCGATGACATGCATCAACCAAGTCAGGAGCCTTGTGTATTTTAAGTGATAGTGATACAACCAAAAATACATTAATGAAAGTGTATTTCTTCTCTCTTCAGACTGTTAAAATATATTTCATCTCCCCAAGGTATACATCGTATATTCTATATAGTATACCCCTTATATATAGAACCTTACGATAGGCTAGAGTACACCGTGTCATTTCTAACAGCCATTACGTATGTACACATGGTAGCGACCTGTTGCGACCCGGGTTTGAATTGGTCCTCAGCAACCCATGCTTGTCGTGATTTAAAAGTAATTAAAGGAAGATATTTAAATATTGAAAAGTCACTAAGAATTTGCCCCGTCTGTACTCTTGGTGTTGAAGACGAATTGTATTTTAGGTTTATTTGCCCGGTATATTACAAAATATGTATTGAATATTTACCCGCCTGGTCATTTTCATATAATTTTTGAATTTGAAGTTTACACGATATACGGCTTTTCCATTGGACGAGAGAGCGGTCACATGACCGCGAAATTGACGTTCATAAGTGTATGAACGACACAATTTGACGTTCATACGTTTTTCACGAGACCGTGTTCTTGAAATGACGTAAACACTGACGGACTACTTCCACATTCCTGGGGAAACCCCTGGGAATTCCCTAGCACGAAAACACACAAGCGTTCTTTCTGATCATTTAGAACCTTTATTCTTGGTCTCAGCGTTTCAGTATACATTGAGAAATATCAGAGAGCGTGACTGCATGATTGTTCACGAATATCCTCGCTGCGGCCTATCCTAATGAACAAACGATGAAATGCACATCTAAACTATCGTAGTGTGGACTCGATCCGTGTCTAGGCTGACATTGACCGTCTCCAGCAATCTATGAATTTACCTTAGTGTCTGTTTGACGCATCTTTATTCACCTTTCAATGATCTGGCAGTTGATCAATGATGACTAACACATGTAACCGCCACACGTTCATTAATAACTTCTGAAATCTCTCCCGTCACGTTTATCGTGTCGGCCATTTTGACGTCTTGTATTTGATGTAAATGTATTACGACGCGCTGTCATTGTGACTGACTTACTGAGGTAGTTCTTTACAGACCTTTCTCATCTAATGAGGATATGATCTGAACACACGTGCTGCTTAAGATGTTTCTGAAGAGCAAGTTGTGCATCCATACGCCCATGTCACCTCTCTTTTTGAGGAACTATTTTACTCCGCGATATAGCTGGTTGTTGTATGGCTGTCAGTGTCAGTGTCACACGTACTAAATAAAATTGTGTTTAGATCTTGGCCTACATCCTTTGAGGTAAGAAATTGTGATATAAAAATTATAAGAATTGACTTTCACTTTGTGTGAGTTCATTGGAGTATGAACCTTCATAGAGTGAGGGCCAAACATTGTATGAACGTCGTCGCAAGCTCCGACGTTCATACATTTTTGCCCTCACTCTATGAAGGTTCATACTCCAATGAACTCACACAAAGTGAAGGTCAATTCTTAAGTATATCTACTAATAACTTTATTTATCATCCAAAACTGGATCCCACAGGAGATACCGCTCGGATTCGATCAAGCGATATCTACACTGTAGATATCGCTGCAATGAAATTACATCACAATGCTTTGCAGATCATTGTGACGTCACTGGTTACCATAACGTCACAATCAAATGACATCACTAATGGCTCTGCTACTGAAGCTGTTAGCAGTACTTTTTACACCAAAGACACTGCCAATTACTGTCTACAAATTGAAAAAGTTGGAAGAATGATGTTAGATGATAAAAAAAATCTCACCCTCGTGTCTTTTGATATCAAATATATCAACTCGTGTTTTCACCTTCTTCGTCGGGCAGTTAATGGAAGACCTCGGGCTTCTGCAAATGATAATGCCCTGAAAAAAAACGTTACCGTTATATCAAAAGACACTCGGGTGAGATTCTCTATATGTTTGCTGTCAAACAAGTATCTTTATGCATTCATGATGTTTTAATGTTACGTCGGTTGTTGTTGTCTTGGTTTGGTTGGTTTGTTGTTTAACGCCGCACTCAGCAATATTCCAGCTATATGACGGCGATCAGTAAATAATCGAGTCTGGACCAGACAATCCAGTGATAGACATCATGGGCATCGATCCACGCAATTGGGATCGATGACATGCATCAACCAAGTCAGCAAGCCTGACCACCCGATCCTGTTAGTCGCCTATTACGACAAGCATGGGTTGCTGAAGACCTATTCTACCCCGGATCTTCACGTGTCTGTTGTTGTCTTGATACTCCATTGTTGTCTGGATACTCCGTATACTACAATATTTGTTTATATAACTGTATGTCTATAAACCTCACTTGTATATGGGCCAATGGCCTTTCACACAATAAACCACTGAATTAAAATGAACTGAACTGAATTGAGAGGCAACTATATGAACGTGATCGCGTGGTCAGGCTCGCTGACTTGGTTGATGCATGTCATCGTATCCCAATTGCGTAGTCGATACTCATGACGTCATTCACTGGATTGTCTGGTCCAGACCAGATTATATACAGACCGCCGTCATATAGCTGGAATATTGCTGAGTGTGGCGTTAAACAAAAAAACAAAAACACATAGTACCACGTGACAACGCGGATGTATCAGCTGTTATGGCAGTTATGACCGACGAAAATCATCAAAACCGCACATAGCTGCCAGCCCGATTTACACCCACATCCCGTGATTCAGACGCAAGTCTTTCGAGTATACACGATCGGCCAAACAAGATAGAATACCATCTTTCGTTTGGGATGACTCAGCTCTATACAAACTGATAGTCCTTTTACACAGCAACAAGGGCCCCCTTTGCCACAATACCCGGGAAGACAATAAGAGAGTTACACCCACAGCTGTAAACCGCACCCACTACTATACCTTGAGCGCCCCTGCATAATTATAAAACGATCACCGGCACTGTATGTAGGTGACCGAGTTTGGTTTAACAGTGCTTTCAACATTTTTCAGCTGTATAATGGCGTGGGTGATTATTGTGACGTTGGTTTTAAATGTTTCCTACATTGATGAAGCGGACAAGCATCTTTATCAGGGCGAATCACGACCAGCAGAGCCCAACACGGCTGAAAATGTATGAATAACGTGCCGCGTAAGGGAAGGTGCTGGAGTGATTGGTTGTGGTTAGAGAGTGAATGAGTTGGGTTTGACACTGCTTTTAACAGTATTCCAGTCATATCACGGCGTGTCAGCTTAATGTGGGAGGAAAGCCCGAAGTGATGCAGGTCTCAGACGTTTAACACTTCGATGAAACCCACGAGCACGGGTATGGTGCTGACAAACCTAGAAACATAATCGGGACGAACCGGTATTCGAACCCACAATCATAGGTTTCTGGCGTGCCCAAGGGACGCAACTCTGCACAGCGAATCGCGGCGCCTTAGACGACTGGGCCAACCGTGCCCCTGAGGTTAAGGAGGCAATACACGCCGTGTTATTCAAATATGGATAAAAATAATATGAACAGCCTGCTACCGTTTGGGCAAGTGGGTGAGTTGGGTTTAACACCACTTGACCACTTTGGTGAAACCCACGAGTACGGGTATGGTGCTGACACACCCGGATACATAATCGGGGCGAACCGG